TTAATCGTGTCTAAAAAATGCTTTCGGTCGGTAATGCACCTGTTTGACTTGATATAAAAAGGATATGATAGTCAACTACGGGTATTTCTACTGATGTTGTTTTTAGATCTGTATGATTGTCGAGGAAATTAGAAAGTTTGATGTGAGCGCCGTTATCAGGGTTTCGGTTGTTCTTTGGGGTGGGAGGGGCTAAAAATTTTGCTTCGCAGAAAGTGGTTGGCGAAAAAATGTTTTCGAAATTTTTTGGTACAAAGTTGCTGGTGGAAAACGTCAAAAAGTTTGCCAGTAAGTTCAAAAATTTTTTACCGGGAGGGGCTAGCACCCCTGCTTTGGAAACCTGATCATTACATGACATCTATTCAATCGGAATATTTTTTTCTTCGCGTGCATTAGTTGAAAAAGTAAACTTTTTTGAAAAATGCTTATTACCATTGGGTGCATGGTATGATTGTTAATTCTTACATGTATGTATTTGTTTTTTCTTTTGAGTCAAAACAAGACGGATAATGATCGAGAATGAAAAAAAACTAGGATGACTTTTGTAAAGTCTCACATTTTAAGAAACGACTCTCTCTCACACATCCCGTAACCAAACTACACCAAAAACATCGTCACATTCATTCCTGATTACAGTTTCAAGTGGTCTGGTGGTTAATTAAACCAAGATCGATGCAGTTTCTTGCGCTGATTCGGAATAAGTCATTTTTATTCAATAAAAACATTTCTGGGCCGAGATAACTGAGAGATACCTGGAAAGCCAAGGGTTTTTTTGAAACCAGTATGTGAGTTCATGAATATTTGTGCTAATTTGTGCTAACTGTGGTGATAACTTTCATATAGGAGAACATTCTGGCAAAGTTTGATTCAGGTCCAAAGAGGGATGTGAAGGGGGCTCTCACTTTGCTAAACTTAGCCGTTTGGAAAACCATTTAAGAAAAAATTTTATTTTTTTCTCAACATTCTTTAGCTCAAACTGAAAGTTTTTTTACTAATATACCCTAAATGATGCGGAGATTCAAAATTAACAAAACATTTGCTGACTGTACTAGTCATTTTTGTGTAAAAAATTAATTTATCTGACCATCACGCTATTTTCAGGCTAATTTTTAATTAGCTGATTTTCCACTACAGTTGAACTTCGTAGCAAAACTTCTAACGCCATTAAATAGCCCATAGTTTGAAGTATATGTTGCACTGTTTAAATCGTTCATAAGTCAGTTTTTATATTTTCGCCTAATGTCCGCCTGGATGCACACTGTGACTCGGTGGCTACGCCATTATTGGAGAAGTTCACGTGTCAATAACTAACCGTATCTACGAGAGATGTTCGGATTCCGGAATTTTTCTTACAAAAACTTTGCGACTAAATGAAAGTTTATTCATTGATAATTTATCACTACTACATCTAAATTATTTAACATCATGACCATTTTTCCGCGAGGGTTTTAGTGAATTTTCCTAAGAATTTTACTCAGCACAAGTGTTTTTTGGACACGTGGCTTGTTTTTCCAAGAATCCTCATAATCATTAAACACTTTTTTGTCGCTACTATCTACATACGAGAAGTATAAAATAAGTATGCGACAATGATTCTTTCCGTAACTTTTACTTTAAAATCGCTATAAATAACGCTTTCTATAAGGAGTAATGTGTAAGTGATGAAATTTTTCAAAATACTCACCAAAATATATCGCATGTTCTCCCTTGTGTAGCGATATTGTACAAAGAAATAAGCAAAATAATCATCATATCATCGAGAGAAAAACAAATAAGTTCATGCAGAGTGGTGGAAAAGTGTTTTTTCGTACCTAGCACACTCGATAATCCAGAAGGTTTCTATTTTCCACGAGACGTATTGCCAACGACTTGACTTTTCTCAACTTGTCATTACAAAAAGTGTTCTCTTTTCGATGCTAAAAACCGCATGGTATTATCTGTTTTCAATAAAAATTTATTTAGTAAATGAGAGACTCCAGTGTAACTTGGAAACCGATAGTAATATTATTTTCCTATCGAAATTTTTCTAAATATCCCTCGTCAAAAATAGAAAATCTTACGGGTTACCGAGTGCGGTGAATACGAAAAAACACTTTTCTGCGACTTTAAGGGACCCCGCTCAGAAATGGCGATTTTCGGTCAAAACATCGATTTTGAGATAAGCACATGGGAAGATAGCCTGTAGTGTCTACTTTTAGAATCTATATCGCTTTTGGTTACAAAAATGGTTTTTCGCGGATTTTTAGCAAGTTTTCTAGGAGCCTCGAAAAAGCGGCTCTTCAAATAATAACTTTTTCCTGGATTCATTATGCAATTAAAATTTTTCTATACAGACAGATTTATAGAGCAAACGTTTCTGATCAAAATAAGACCTCATACAACTCTGCATGACTTTGTATCAAAAATTTACAAGGATTTTCCTGGAAGTTCTAAAATTGAGTATTCCATACAGCGTTTAATACAGCATTTTCCCTATATAAGACTTACACCTGAAGTATTTCCCAAGATTTTTTATAGCGGTTTATCATAGAAAGTTTATTCTTTATTTGTTTAAAAGAGAAAAAGAAACTACATCGTCTGACGATTTTTGAATTAGGTCTTAGTTTTTTATCAAATTAAGGATTTTTAGAAAATCCGGAAGGAGTTTTCGGATTCTGGAGGTTGTTGATTGCCTGGAAAACCAAGAAAGGCTTAACTGGAAAATCTGCGCCGGTCAGACCATGTAGTTAAGTGTCTAGTTTAAAACAAAACAAACCCAAACTCTCCAGCTTGAAGTATGTTAAAAATCTTAGGAAACACTTCAGGGTCCTTTTGGACCTTGATCTCTAGAAAACTCGTGAACGGTAAGACTTGGAGACAAAAAAATTTTTCATTCCAGTAACTCATTAACCCAAATACTTATGGAAAGTTTCGTCAAGATCGGATGTACGGTGTCGGAGATAATTTCTGAGGGGGGGACCTTAAATGAACTTTATTTTTTTCTTCACGTTGATATGTTCAAAGGAGATCCGTTCTCGAGAAGGTATCATCTCGACTTCCTTGCTTTAACTAGAGTTCTTATTTTGTTTTCTATATGCAGGGCCGTCCCGAACCGGAGGAGAGAGGGTTGATCTCCCTCCAATTTTCAGAAATATTTGATGATTGATCTCTGATGAACATTTGAAAATTTAATTTTTGGTAAGCGTTAAAAAGTTAAGATAAGCTACAATGCAGTACTTTGATACCTTTGTTTTTTACCCGAAGTTATGTCATTTTATAACTGACCCTCCTAAAGTTGGAGAGATCGGGACGATCCTGTCTATAAGAATATTAAAACAGAAACAAGAGTATTTATAGAATACAAACCTGCGATAAAGATAATAAGATTCGATGTTTTGTAGCAGCATGCGCAAATTTGCAGGGCACACCCACAAGTTCATGGTCTTTGAAGATCTCAAAAGTTAACATTATATTGAATGCCTTTCAAATATCCCAGAGACTGAAAAAATAGAATTCGACAATAATAGAAAATAAGACTTTGATCACCAAATTTATTAGTAGACAAGAAGAATGTGAAGAAAATATATACAACAAGAAATATGGACAGAAGAGAAATTTAATCTAGTTTCTTTTAGTCTTCTTTGATCAAAATGACTTTGTCAACTCAGAACAGTTATAAATAGCGTCCCTAAGCTGTACACGACGCCATCAGAAAAATATCGAAGCAAGAATGGAAACTGTTGCACATAGTTCGATCGTACGATAAAGCGAAACAATGTGCAAAATCATAGTTTAATGTTTGTCAATGATCAGATTTAAAAATGTATACAAAATATTCGTTCAAATGTGGTGATTATAAAAAGTGTTCTTTTTTTGTTCTTGGGAAATTTAGATAATCGTGCTGGATAGTAATCCACAATCAGTGACGGTCATGTCTAAAATGTAGATGGACACGAAGAAGAAGAACGCAATCCAATAACACGTTTACCATCGCCCATTTGAGAATGGGTGTCGAAATATGTTAATAAATATGGATTATCACAACCCTAAATTAAGTCGTCATTAGCTCGAGATCATCCAAATGCATCAATAACCGAAAAAAAGCTAATTAATGCAGTAACTTACGAGCGTCGAAAGAAGGGGCTAAAGATTTTTTCAGTTTTCCATTTACGAAACTAGCATATTCAACGCAATAATATGGTACCGTGTTAGGGACGCTATTTATAGAGTAAGCTGGAGTAATTATAACCAGGCACAAACTTTTTCTCAGTATTTTACGAATGGTTAAGCCATTTTTAGTGGGAGAAAAGTAGTGACTACACAGGTAGATACATATGACTCTCAGCCATGCACTAATGTAAAATTTGTCTGAAAATTCATTACCATCAATTAGTGCCATTCAATTTCCTGTGCGTTACTCTTAACTGGTTATAAATACCCCATGGAAAATAGCCGTGTGGTTATAATTACCACAGCGGGTAATTATAACCATCACAGCACAAACGGTTAGGACGATGTAAATCAACTTTGATCCAACGGTGAACTTTTACCTTTTCAATTAAAAATTAGTTCCTATTCTAGGGAATTTCGAGATTTATCCACCTCATGAATTGCCAATCAATCAGCTTTACCGTTAATTACTTAATGAGAAATTAGTGAAATCAAAAGACACGGTCATTTTTTCGATATATACGAGCTGGGGTAATTATAACCGGTTAAGAGTAACGCACTGGAAATTGAATGGCACTAATTGATGGTAATGAATTTTCAGACAAATTTTGCATTAGTGCATAACTAAGAGTCATATGTATCTATCTGTGCAGTCACCACTTTTCTCCCACTAAAAATGGCTTAACCATTCGTAAAATACTGGGAAAGAGTTTATGCCTGGTTATAATTATCCCAGTCTACTCTATTTGTTTTATCAGATTCGAGTATAGTTTACGCTGCAGAAAAAGAGACTTTCTCTTGCGTAGCATCAAATGTATTGTGCGTCACAGATTGGAAAAAAAGAATAAAAATATCTACATGGAACTACTAAAAGCTGTAAATGTTTCATTATTTTGACTTGATAAATGAAGAGTCGATTGTGATGTTGAATCTGTTGCACTTAGTAAACGATGTATTTCTTCTGGATGACCATTATTATTTATTTGTTTATCTAATTGTCGTTGGTATTGTTTTGCTTTTGGTAATGATTCTCTCAAACTTATTGATATTTGTTGAAATGTCGGTCGTTCATTTGGATTGAATTCCCAACACATTTGCATTAGTTCATGGTATTGTGGCATCAAATCTGGTGGCCCAGGTGAGTATAATCGTGTACCAGACACAATCATTTTAGATGCTTCATTCTCATCTTTAATATCAGCATAAGGTTGTTCTAATTTGTACATTTCCCATAAACATACGCCAAAAGAATAGACATCACATGGTGGAGCAAAATTTTTCGGATTTCGTGGTTCCAAAAGACATTCGGGAGCTGTCCATCGAATTGACACAGGTAACGATGGAGCAGTTAATGTACACAAACAACATTCATTTTCACATGCAGCTCTTAACGGTTGTAATATTTTAATTAGTCCAAAATCACAGATCTGAGCTCGTAAATCAACACCAACTAATATATTAGAACCTTTTAAATTTCTGTGTAGAATTTTTTGACCATGAAGATACAACATAGCATCAACAGCATTTGTACACTAAAACAATTGAATAAAATTCTATATACGCAAAATGTGAATACTCTCTTATTTATACCCATTTAATTCTTAATGACCAATCAATTCTATCTGGAAATCGTTTAATAAAATCTATAATTGTTCCATGTTCATTAAATTGCATAATTAACGTTGGATAAGTGACATCATCAAAACACACGCCAATTATAGCTGTTAAATTTTTATTTCTTAATCGGCTAAAGACAAATAAATTTTATTCAAATATATGCAGAAATATTACCTTACCTTAGTATACCAATTTCATTTTGTAAATAGTTAGTATCATTTTTTGTAAATTTATCGGCATGTACACCAAGCCTTAATGTTTTAATTGCCACTAATTTATCATTCCATCGACCTTCATTCACTTCACCCAATTCACCAGCACATAATCTATAGACATAAGATAAAAAATATGATATTTTTACATAACTATACTAAATACCTTTTGACAATTTTAAAATCTTGACTTGAAATATTAAGATTATCCAAAACAGGAAGTGATGCTTTTGAACGCAAAACACGCTTTGTACTTTGATTATGATCTGTTGTTAAACGATTATAAGTTGAACGCATTGTATGAATATCCATTTCTAGAAATATATCATTTGTTTTTTTGGTATACTTTTCTTTTATATAACATGATGTATGAGATCTTTACATACGTCCAACAGCACCATACACATTTCGTTCAGGATAATGACGACGACATTGGTAAAAAATAAATACGGCTGTTGCAACAATAAAACAGATAACAAACAATAAAAGTAATAACAAACCATCAGGAAATTGCCCTACAAATTAAAGAATTTCGTTATTTTTCATGATATTGCCAGTGGGTTTGTCGCCAAGGAGTACTCATGCTTCCTTTCAAGTTTCGTCTCTTTAAAACTCTGAGCGATTAAAAATTCCAACATGCGTTTCTTTCGGAGAGATGACGCTGTGTGGTAGCGTCAACAAGAATAATATTGGACTTTAAGTTTCTGTTCAATTTTCTAAAAACTGATTTAACGGTAAAATCTCGTCTCAATTACTCTATACTTCTGCTGGCAGTAAGTATTTGACACAATAGCTCGATTTTGAAAAAATGTTTAAAAACACTAAAATATCACTTGAAAATGCTTTAAGAAGATTAGAGTGATACAGTTTTTATATGGCTGTGTTTGAAATACAATGCCATTGTTCGCTACAGTAACAGGTACATTTAAATTGCCACCGTTTCTAGTAACAAGTAACGGTTTTATCTCTAATTGACAGATATCAGACAGTTCACACATTATTCATCGAACAATAGTCGAATAACTTCAGTATTTCAAATTCATCATCTCACCTCCACAAACATTCGGGCAATTACATCGATGAGTTAATACAAACAACTAAATTAAGAAAAAAATTGTTATATGACTTTCATCATTAGCTCTAAAGGTATATACCGGTATTCGATCCAAATAAGAATCAAATTTGAATACTGCTTTATGAGAACGTCGATCACATTGAAATAGAACATACATTGATGAATTTGAATAGGATCTAAATGAAAATTGATCTTTTTCTTGTTTAAAAAACTTTATTAATATTCTTACCTTGCTCCAAAATATTTAATAATTAGATCACCTTTCATTTTCGATGATGTTTCAATTGATGAATTCATTTGAATTGCCATAGGATAGTAGAAATATTTGTTTTTTTTAATCATTTGATAACAAGCCAACACATTATGACATTGATCACCTTCAGATATATACGGATCTTCAGGCATATTAAATGGTTTACACGGATTAAAATAGTAAAAACCAATTGTTTCATTTTGACTATCGGTAACATTAGAACTATAATGAAAATAGAGAGTATAATTTAACAATTATTATTGATTAATCAGACATTGGTGATGAAATTTTTCATATTTTTATTTGCACTTGTAATGAACTTACCGTTCTTGAAAAGAGTGCGATGAACTGATTAGTTACCTTAATATTTGATAACTTATATCTCTTAAATCAATTCGTTTATTACTTTCTCTAATTAAACAATTTGTTGATGTTGAATACCACGAAAAACAAATCGTTATTTGAAATGAAAAAAGCAAAATAATAAAAAAATACGATATATACATATTTGCGCTGATTGCGTGTGTGTGTATTGATAAGATGACGGAAAAAAATAGTAAAATATATCTATTGAGTAAAAGAACGTGAACTTTTCAAAACTTTTCTTTTCAAAAAAAAAAAATAGTGTATGAATGTAAGAAATATTTTATTCACTTAGGATTACATTAGTCAGCTGTTCTATTTTTTCGAATAAAAGTAACTTGGTTCCTTTTTTTTATCGTTCCTTGCACATATGAAAGATGAAACTGTACAAGGTTTAACATATACTATATCTCTTTTGCAGCAATATCAGTATGTTTCGACACGTTTTTTTTTTTCTTTTATCGCTTCTGTATGTAGTACCAAATATACAATATATAATAATTCATATTTATTATTTTTTCTTTTTTTTTTCTGCACCTCTCTTCTATAGACAGAAATATTGACACAGTTTATTATTTTCTCCGTCATTTAATGATGTGTATAATACAGCAATTTACCTTTTCATAACCTTGTAGTTTCGTTTCTTTTTTTAAAATCTGGATTCAGAACGTTGTTCTCATTTGTTAACCTAAAAGAAGTGGCTCCAAGTATTCAAAGGCTTAGGAAATCGATGCCGAATAGCGTTAGTCAATTCTTTTATAAAAAAAAATTTTCTATCTGTATGTTTACTTCTCATCTAAAAGACAAAAGAATGTATAAATCGGTCAGAGTTAAAAAATATTCCAAAAAAGTATCCATTGTGAAGTAAATTAATATCCGTTCGTATTCTCGTCTCTCAAAACGCACACAAACAATCAGCATTTCTAGAATAGATAAAAGCAGTCAATACTAGATCCAGAGGAGTCGAACTTTTTTTGATAATTTTTAAAATTTATTTGTAGATTTTTTTTTTGAATCAGATAAATCACCTGCAAAAATTTCTCGCCTTTATTGACTCTATCAATACTATTTCACATTTAACTATCTTGGAATCACGACAGACAAACACCGTTAGCCAAAAGTCTGTTACAGTTGTGTTTTTCAGTAGAGAGCGACATCTAACACACTTCACTATAGAAACGACTTGGACACTATCTCAAGCAAAAATATAAGACGAATAACAAGATAGAAGAGTATCAAAAATAGTCTATACACCGAATATTGAAATAGTATCTCTTGTAAATCGTCTGTTATTTATCGAAATGATAACAGGATATCTTATTGGTCAATGGCACTTTACCTTTTCTCTAGTTTTTTTACATGATATGGTTTAGACAGATAGATACATAATGAATGATGGTCGACATTTTAGATATTTATAGAAAGGAACGAAAAAAAAAAGAATAATAAAGGACAGATGAAGGAAAATTTAAAATCAGTGAGTAAAACTGTCCAGAAGAGAAGTCAGTTTTTGGGTAGTATGCAGTTACTTATTAGTTTTTCAAATCTAATTATATAAAAAAAATTTACTCTCTCTTTTAGATTATATTCTAAAATTTGGGACAAGACTATGGAAAGATAGTTTCAAAATGTCCATGTTACAAACTTTTACAAATAATGTATAAAAATATCTCAACCATTATGTCAACTTTATCAGAGAATAATATCCCACTGTCATTGAATATTCGAAATAATTCAATAACGTTGGAAACGAATAAAAGCAATATTGAACAAGAAAAAGTAATAAAAGAGTTCGTACTACGTTTAAAAGGATCTTCCTTTGAGATTGAGTGGCGAAGTGATAAATAGGGATATTTATAATCACTTCTGTTTTTCGTGCTGTAGCTTTTGAAAGAGAATATTTGGCTATTTTTTGATCTTTAAACATTTGTGTTAATTTTAACTATACTTTACTTTGGTATACTGCTGCACATAAGGATTTCAACTTTTATATGTGTGAAGCTCGAAGATCTCTTACATATGTTAGTCAAGCCTAATTGACACTATTAATATTTACTTTCAGGGTGTGAAACAAAATGATATGAATAATAATAGTAATGGCTCGGTTCCTACAATTGTGTCAGCGAGACGCGCCATTGAACGTGATTATCTGGTTGATAATGATGATGATGACGAAGAGCCAATGTTAAATACTCGTATCATTAAATGTAAATCATCATTAAAATCTCAATTACCATCACATCTTGTACATAATCCGCAAATTCGACAAATTCAAATGCCATCATATAATATTCTCTCACAGCAAACAGCATTACCGACGGTGACGCCCGGTTATCGATCAATTGAGGTGCCCAATGAACATACATCAATTAAGCTTCATATTCGACGCGTATGTAGTCCAACGGAAACAGTAACAACACCGACAACAAATTTATTACATCATAACAGTAGTAAGTCGCCGTCAACAATATCTTCCCATGACATTAAAAATGAATCTGTTGAATATAAAACGCAATTTTTACAACAACAAACACAAAAACGAACATTTTTTAACACAAATCAAAATGAACCACAGCCACCTATCACACAGGTAAGACAAGAAAACGATTTGTAACTTGAGATAATTGTTTTATAAATCTATAGTTGCGAAAAAAATTATGTACCTCGCCTTTAACGGTCATAGGCGGCGGAACGAATTAGGTCTAGGGTGGGCTCAACATTTTTTCGCCCCGAGAAATAATTGCAGATTTTTGATAATGGTTTTACTTACTGTTTTTTTATGTCTGACAAACGTTAAAGGAAAAAACCATACGAAGTAAACTAATAGACCTACTGTAGAAAGTAAAGATAAAAAATAAAAGGAAAAAAGTAATAATCGTATACACCAAAGAAAGCTTTTCTCTTTTGATTTTTTTGAAGCAAAATACGAGCAATAATGTTCAAATTTACTGAGTTTAGTTTTTCTTTATGTGTATGAGGGAAAAATAACACAGAAAAATATTTTTTATTAGCAAATCTAGGGTAGGCTCAAGTCTACCCTAGCCTACAGGCTCCACCGCCTATGTTAGCGGTTAGAATCGACTGGTAAACTGCATAGTTTTAGTTATGTGTATTTGAATGGACCTGTACCTTCTCAACAACAATGTTTTAGGTAACCAGTCAACAAAATGATTCATCGTCATTATCACTCTTTAACCGTGTAAAACAAATAACACCTGCAGTGACAGATAATAAAGATTTGGATCAAAATAGTACTTCTTCGTCAAATGATCAACCACAGCAAATCACACCTACAATTCGTAAACCAAGGTTAAGACGTTTAACTCAACCTCGAATATCGACATCAACCGATGAAACATTGAAACAACACGACCAATCATTTCCTTCTATTTCTGAAAAACAAAATCCTATCTCAGTCTATGATCTGAATACTTCCTCAAATGTGGAAAATAATCGTTTACTCTCAATACATCTAAATAATAGTACAAATTCTTCAACAACTGAAGAGATTGATTATGATGAAAATAATAAAATAAAACGTCTGCCACAACCAACATCAAAACAACAACAACAGAAAAGTATCGAAACAAAGAAAAGAAAAATACAAGAAGAAGAAGAAAAAAGGCCAAGATCGAGTTTAACAAAAACAAAACAAAATAGTAAGGGCTTATGCTTTTCTGAAAAAAACGCGGCAGCATAAACTTACCACATGCGTTTTAATTGTAACATGTTTGTTGTCGTTATAGAATCATCGTCACTAATTTTGAACAAGACTCGGTCGATGGAAACACGGTCATCGTCCCGTTTAAAAGAGAAAACCACACGTGGCAACAAATCACATTTAATTCATCCAATTCAAACTCTGCACGATCAATCATTCGCTTCTAGCTATTCATCGTTAACTGAAATCTCCTCCTCATCATCGTCTACCACTACTACTACTACACTTCTTCCCATACCTCCATCTACTTCGACAATCGAGTATATAACAACAACAAATTCCACAGCACCTCGTCCCTATCGATCTCAGTCTATCTCTTCTTATTCATCGATGGAAGACGAAACAACGATTAATAATCATTCGTGTGCAACATCGAAACGTCATTTGAGTACGGAACTTATTACCACACCTCAAACATCAGAATGTTCAATACAAACAGATTTATTGACGAATTTTTCAGGTAAACCGAGAGAAATATTGGTTTGTTTTTGAAAATAATGACATATTTCTTTATCTAGGTTTTATACCAAGTGAATTTATTCTTATCGCCAAAGATTCATTACTTTCAACATCTGAAATTGGTTGTCAAACAGGCGATGATTTCTTAGAAATTTCACATCAATCAATTCAAACTATTGATCTAGTTAAAGTTGATAAATCAACGTTTATGGATACTGTCGATCAACCTCTATGTGATCAAGCTTGTCAGACAATTTCATTTGAGTCAAGTGAAACCCAAACAATGGATTTAAATTGTCCACAAGATTCACAAGTTCACCTTGGTGAACTAAAAACAACACATACACAATGTGATGGGTTACAAAACATTTTACAAGAAACAACGCTAACATCTTTGAAAGGTTCGCTATTAACGCATCAATTACGAAAACAATCAATATCATCTTCTTCGTCACCATCCCAATCTCCATCACCATCATTGTTAAATTTAGTACAACGACCATCTTCTACTACAAATTGTTCGCCACCTATCTGTAATAATACGCTCACAACATCACGAGTATCAACGCCAGATATTTCTCACATGGACAGATTTACAAAAAATTGTAAGCTGATTTTATGTTTCAGAATTCGACTACTCTTAACATTTTACTTTCTAGGTATTGATACTGTTCATCCCTATTCAAGTGATCCATATTTAGATTTACAATTGCATAATGATCACAATGATCTCTATAATCAGTTTCAGAGTTTAGTTCACATAGAAGAACATCCCAATGGTGGCGCTTCTCTAATTCGTACTTATTACAATGAATTTTCTCGTTTATCGGAAGAAAATATGTCGTTGTTTGTTAACTATTTTTTTGATTTGGTTTATGGTGAAAACACGTCAACACATCGTGCCAATTTTTCAATTGGCGTTTTACATGATGGCGCTAAATATTTACCAGATCTTGTCGATTATTTTAGTTTACAGTATCCAAAAATGATTGTAAAAACATCGAATATGACTAATTCAAAAGAAATATGTACAATGACAATGGGAGAATATCGAAATAAAATTATTCAGTCATACTGTAATGGAACATTTCGATTTGGACCATTATTGCATATTTCACTTGTGGGAACAGTTAGCGGAAAAGAAGAATGTGGTAAGATATTCAGAATATTGGACTAAATAAAAGATGTGTTAAACTTTTGATTGCATTCTTAGGCGATTATTTTCCTACATTTCTTGATAAATTAGAAGAAAATCAATTTTTAAAATGTGTAATGCCATGGGGTTTAAATTCAAGTTTAAAAATGGCAAATAGAACAGAGAGTAATGATGGACCGATTTTGTGGGTGAGACCTGGCGAACAATATGTACCAACAGCCGAACAAAAAAGTTGTCATCCAAAAAAACGGTAATAAAATCTTTTTTTAATTTGTCACAACTAGTATTTTTCGTTTTTTGATAGGATGGCCAACGAACTGCGAAATTTAACATTTAACGCTCGTGGTTCAGAGCCAAGAGAAATACTTGTTGAAGATCGTACAAAACCTCATTCAGATTATTGTGGAGGTGGTGGTGTAGAAACAACAGCAGCTGTTGGTTTAATCAAAGCGGTTCATGCTGGAACACCGTAAGTCTTCAAAGTCATTTACTTTTATATACGATAGCCTTTCATTTTTAGATCAACAGTAAATCGTATTGTCAAAGATGTTATTTGTTTTCATGCTGAAGATTTTGAAAAGGTTGTAGAAAGATTAAAAATTGACATCTACGAACCACCAGCGACACAAGTATGTGAAAACATTTTTTTTGAATTATGGCTTGACAAAACTATTGATAATCTTTTTTTCTTTTCAGTGTTTATCTTGGTGTGACGAGGGTAAACTGAATCAATTACGTCGCGATGGTATTCGTTATGTACGCCTTTATTTAAATGATAATGATATTTATTTTATTCCACGTAATGTTGTCCATCAATTTCGAACTCTTTCTGCTTCAACATCAATCGCTTGGCATGTTCGATTGAAAAATTATTATCCAGAAGAAACAAACATCGACGAATATGCACCCGTGTACAGTCCTATATCACCTTAAAATACTAGTATCTTACTTTTTTATATGTTATTTATTATATTTTTGACTATTGTTTAAATGATTAAACAGCAAGAACAACAAAAAACAAGAGTAGTTAGTTCTATTTATCGTGTACATAGTATGTTATATGATAAGTATTGCATATGCTTTATCTATTACATATTGTCAGTGAAATAAATACTGAATGATGTATATAGAATATCTTTTTTTCATCTTCTTGCCGTTTTAATTGTGAACAGTTTTGATGTCACAACTATAGAAACTTCCTTTTTATGTTTTAAGATAATGTTTTTTACTTGTCATTTTTTCTTTTGTCATCAAATGAGTCGTCACTGATAATTACGAACTTTTTTCTATTACTATCATCATATTTTATTTGACAGGAAAAATCTTTCTAAGTGGGTTACTCTCTTTGAGTAGTATGTTTTCTAAGCCAATTATTGAATTTTTTTATTGTTGAGAGTATGTAAATCTCTTAATAGACTTTTCTGTTCTTGTCTTGTCGATTTTGTTTTGCATGACTTTTTTCTTTGTTGTCTTGTAATCTCAGAACAAGTCCTTGTTATAATGTTGCCAAATGTATGTTTTTTGTGCGTATAATCTTTATACATATGTATGTGTGTACATATATTTGTCTACTGGAACGTTCTCGAAGTTAAAATATAAACAAAATATCTGCTTGTATTTTGTTTATTTTTTTTTTGTTTTGCAATAATAACCTGAATTCTAAACTTTATTCTACATATAGAAATTAAATGCTATAGTAAGACTATTTCTATATGTTAACAAAAGTCCATATGTCTGTTTTGAACTCGCAAGAATCCATGCTGAGCGACGTTTTCTCATTTCTTCTAGTGTGATTGTCTGTGATTTAATACTGCCCTGCTTTAGTCGATGGTGTACTATATGTATGACGTCTTCTTTGTATTGTTTTCATTTCATATAAAATTGTGTTCATTTGCGCGTGCACGACTTTGTTTTTTTTTATTTTGCATTGTTGTTTTTCTCTCGATATATATGTATCGATATAGAAGCCAAGAGTAATAACAAAAGTTTCATTTTCATTTGTATTCATGTGTAATTAGAATGTTTTTTCTAAGGTTTATTGTTCTTTATTTATCTTGTTTGTTTTATTTTTATTTAAAAATACAGCAAACACGTATTCAATACCATCCAGTATATGCACAAATCATTACATATCATGTTATAAATACATCATATCAATTTGATGTCGAATTAACTACTCTATAAAATTTATACATTTGCAGTTGTCTGCTTATTAGTCTTTTAGATTAGCTCTTTAGGTTAAATTAAACGGTGTGCATGTATATGTTAGTCGTTAGATAGAAAAAATTATGGTAAATAGTCAAATGACTATTAGTGGCCAATCAAATATTTGTGATAAGTGAGTAGTCATTTTATTCTCTTTCTTCTACTTAGTATTCTCTGATTAAAGACTGCAAATATGTGCAAGTTATGAGCATAATTTGTTTGTAATCAAGAGATAAATTAATCTCATGAAGCTCTAAACGACTCAATGGTTATATATTTTATAGTAACGATATGAGTAATCTTTTCTTCATACAATAAACATTGATGAAAATGGAATATTTGTTCTAAACAATGTTCTCATGCAATCAATATGAATGCTTAATATAAATTTTGTTTTAATATCTACCATAGTATTTAAAATTCATGTTATATTTTGATGTATTTTGTTTTAATTTTTAGAGTACGTAGGGAATTACTAAAACCATTTCGAGAAGAACAGCAATATTTAGGTATGCTATTCTTAGTGTCTTGATTTCATTAAAATAAAACTATACTCTTTATGATTAATAATACAATTACTTGAAGGCACTTTGTAATCATTTCCTATATATTTTTTATTTTTATATAGAAAAACTACGTCAGTCAGATTCTGTTGAACAGATTTTAATATGTCTGTTTAATTTATTAAATGTGAATGATTATCGTTCATTATTTTATGATACTAATAATGAAAATGGTAGTGGTACAAATAAAACTGTTCAATGGATAATTGAATTTGCTCGATTATGTAGTCGACGTTATTTTGAGTTTGATGATTTATTATGTCAAGAAAATCAAAAATCCATACATACTATCGCATTATCACAACAACAACATCATTCATTTATTATTGAAAATAAATTAAATCAACTAATTGAAGATTTAAAAAAACGTTTTGAATTGCGTTATTTTTTAAAAATTATACAAGAATTAGAATTTATAGTTCAGAAAAAAATTGAAAAAATTTTAGACATATTAAATGAATATGACAAAATAGTACGTTTAAAAGACAACATTATTTCAATTCTAATATTTGTCTATTTTCTATACTTTGTATTAATTTATGATTGTTGGTTGTTTTTTTTTCATTTAGGATAATATAAATTATTTGACGGCAAATGAAGATGTTGTTCATGTAGTATCAACAACTCCAGAATCAAATCGTACAGCATATGCATCCTATAAACATCCATTTATGCTCTATGTTGATAGTGAACTTCATATTAGAAAAAGTATCAAACAAGATTTGCTTCAACAAATTCCAGAATTTGGCCTAGTTAATAAATTTGTTGGTGATTTACCTAATGCTCAAACGATTAGTGTATGTTAAAAAAAAATGTCTGTTTAATCAATGATACATATTTAATTCATAATATTTGATTTTCTTTTTTTCTTTTTATCAGGTCAAAGATCCTAAAACAAATTTAGTGTATGATATTCTTACAAAATATTTATATTTTGCTAAACCATGTAATGCAAATGCCATTTTACCACCAAAATCCCGGGTATGTGTCTTAGATAAAACATCATCAGTGGCTATTCGTCGATATGGTTTTATTGCTGAATCACCATCAACATCGAACGGTTTTCGTTGTCTTGTATTCTATGATGATTTAAATATTTCATCAAAATATCATTTATCACAAGAAATTTATTTATGTTTAAATCAAAATTTAGCACAACATCTACAAGACTGTAAACAATACTTACCTAAAATTGCTTATGATTTTTTGGGTAGGCTATGATTCGAAAATACTTGTTTTTAATCTACTAATAAATCATTCTTTTTTCTCTTAATAGAACGTTATTTTCAATCATATCCCGAACGTACTATGTTACGTACAAAAATTGGTCAAATAATAAAAGTGAAAAATATTCTTATATCTACGTCGTCGACACTAGCTGAAAAACAATCATATCAAACAGCTAAAATTGATCACATCGATAGTTCAATGATGACTGTTCAATTTCAATCATCAGGTCAAAAACTATCGTTATATCGTGGTTCTATTTTATTTGAACAATTAAATCATTATTATTCAAAACAATATCAACAAGCATCATCGAGACATTCAGCCCGGCAACATCTATCCACACGACGATCAAATGCTCCAGAAATTATTTGTCTTAATGATTCGCTTCGTAATAATACAGCACATTTACGAGAAATAAGATTTCAAAGACAGTATAACTCATTATTATCAACATCCTCAAATTCTGATCAACCATCAGCACCACAACAATCACGAATAAAACATCAAAATGATCTAAAAACTAAAATAATATGTTCCAGTGATGAAACACACGCAAGTAAGAGATTAAGACGTGCATCACGCGAGTATATGAAATAGAAGCGAAAGAATTAAAAAAACAGACAGGCTCTTTAACAAAATTAAACTATCGAGCGATCGTTTTTTGCTTCTAGTTCCAGAAAAACGTCCTCGTTTATCATTCCATCATGTCGACAACAATGATTCGACAAAAGCATTTACTTATCTACGTCCACGCCAAAACCAAGCTAGTAATCATGCGACAAATTCTAGTGACGTTGCCGATGGTTTTCGGTTGTTAAAAGTACAAGATTTACTTACTTCGTCTTCTACTCTTCAAACAGAAGCTTCGTCGCCTTATCAACGCTACGAATCAGAACCAGGTTTAGAAACAGCCACTGCTATAACAACAACAACGACAACTCATCAACAAATCATACAAGTAAACAGAAATGTGAAAGCCTGAAACAATGATCACTTGTTGGAGTCGTTGTGAAGTGTGGTAACGATATTACCAGTCGCTAATTACTTAAATACAGTGGTCTTCTAAGATTATAAAAACGTTATAAAAACGTATAGCACTTTTTTGTTTTTATTATTTGTGTTTCTTGTCTGTCAGACATTTTTTTTTACTTTTTAATTGTAGACAACCGGACATTCGCATCACCATGCACCACAATTCAAAAACATTTGTGTAAATCCGGTTTTTACTGAATTAGCAAAACAATTTCAACATAACAATTCTGTCATTTATACAAAACATGTATGTTCATTATCATGTGTCGAATTAGCTGAACGAGAATATGATTCATATTCAAAAATTAACCCATTTTTAAAACCGTTTGCGTGTCGTTGGACAGTGATTGAACCATTTCGTTTAAAGAAATCCGGTGATATTACAGTGAGACCCTCGTCAACACCCTACCTCTATTGTACACCATGTAAGTGTTTGACTTTTTCTTGTTTATAGTGTCTAGTGAACAACTAAGGATGAAATGTCAATATATTTCAAATGTAGTAGATAGTTTCTTGTTAGTCGAATGTATTTTAAATATTACTATTCTAGGTGGTAAAGTTTTGCGTGATTTATCTCAAGTTGATAACTATTTACATGTAACAGAATCCAAATTGACAACTGATTTGTTTATTTATGATCGATCAACAAATATTCAATCATATTATGCTCATAATGGTTTCGAAATCACTAATGATCTATCGAAAGGCAAAGAAAACTCGCCAATAACTGTTGTGAATGAAGTTGATCAAGTAAAAATAGCTCCGAAAGAATTTATTTACTCGGTGGAAAGAATACCAACTATTGGTGTCAATTTACAAATTAATAATGAATCAATGACATGTTGTGATTGTACAGATGGTTGTCGAAATCGTACAAAATGTGCATGTAAATAAGAATAGAGAACTAGTAAATAAACGGATATCTCTTTCCACATAAGATATCTCATGTGCGAACATTTTTTCGTCTCAACGCGTCGATAGCAAAGAAGGAGACCAGAAAGATATGCATGTGCGAAAAGAGACATCTTCTTAATTACTAGTTCTCTAGTAAGAGTTTCTGTTTTGTCTTTTTATGAATGTTTTCTTTTGTCTTTTCTCCTAGGTTGGTTACGAACATTGAAATATGCTGAATTAGCTGGTGAAGAACGAGTGAAAGCGATGAAACAAAAAAATAAGGCACAAGCAGAAATTCTTAATTCTATCGGTTATAAATATCGCCGTCTTGTTAAAAATTTATCATCTGGAATTTATGAATGTAATGATCGATGTCAATGTCGCAAAAAATCGTGTACAAATCGTGTTGTTCAGAATGGAATCGTTGTACAGTTGCAAGTAAGTAGATAATATTGACTGGCTAGAAATCTCACGCTCTCCTTTTTGTTTAGTTATTCAAAACGTTCGATCGTGGTTGGGGTGTCCGTTGTTTACACGATATTCCTCGTGGCACATTTATTAGTGTCTATTCTGGTAAGTAAATGATGATACTTTCGCTTAAACTGTCTGTCCCTTTTCTTAATTTTAGGTGAAATTTTTACAAGTGAACAAGCGGATAGTCGTGGAAAAACATTGGGTGATGAGTATCAAGCTGATTTAGATTTTTTTGAACATTTTAATAATTCCGATAATGATGATGATAGTCGAAGCATACAGGATGGCGAGGATGAATTGGACGAAGAAAGAAATGATAGTAGCGAAGTTACATCTGAAACTCTAACACTAACAGTAACGAATGGAAATGTCGATTTAGAACATAACTGGTTAAATGATGATACATCAACATCAAGCGCCGAATCAGGTAAAAGTTTGTATTCAAAAAAAGATCTAATATTTTTGTAGGAAATTTAGTTTTCAACACTCGTGTATTTCTTTTAGTTAGTTCTCGTTTACGAAATGCCCATTTGAATTTACGTGCACGTGATTTATTACGAAAAGGAACAATTGGAACATTGTCAACAACAAATGTAGTATCAAAGAACAAAAAAAGATCGACAACAACAAAATCACCAACAGCCGGTTTAACATCCTTAAATCGTAGTAAATTACCCGATTATGATGGTATTGTTTATACGTTGGATGCAAAACTAATTGGCAATATTGGACGTTATTTTAATCATTCATGTTCGCCCAATCTTGAAGTTCAAAATGTTTTTGTTGATACACACGATATTCATTTTCCATGGATCGGTTTCTTTGCAACAAAATTTATTAAATCAGGTACAGAATTATGTTGGGATTATCGATATGAAGTTGGTACTGTACCTAATAGAAGAATTGATTGTACATGTGGATCAACAGAATGTCGTGGTCGATTATTATAAGAACATTTTTTTGTTTATATGTTGTTATTTGAAATATTTTGTGGGTATTATTGATTTTATAAATGTAAGTTTTACTTACTGCCAAATGACAGATGTTTGTGTTGTGTAAGGTACAAACTGTTCGATACACTAATATTTTTTATACTATCATTTTCTGTCTTTGAAGTAATATTTTACATTACAATAAAGCTCTTATTTGAAGCCTACTCAAATAGCTGAAAAGAATGTGTGTAGTATGTCCTATCTTGATTTTTCGTCCAATTTCATTTCTCTGAAATTCAAGTTCTTGACGGATTTTCTGTGATATACTTTTTTTCAAAGTATCGTCTCTTCTGTTGTATTATGTCACTAGTATATTTGTTTATACAAACGTTGTTTTTTTGTTACGTGTACGTTCTGCTTTTTGCTGTTGTTATGTACACTTTTTCTCTTTTTTTCTATGTAAATACTAAAATATTCATTGTTCTTATTTTGTTAAATTACCATTAGCTGATTATTGTGATGAAAATGTCCATCTTCAGAAGAATTGTATTTTGTTTTAACTAAATAAATATTTTTGTGAATTAGTTTATTTTTGTACGATGAAACAAGTCAGATTTCTGTTAAATTTATAGGATATTTTAATCGAAAGAATCTATGTAACTTCTGTCAGTATTTATTATTCTCAAAAGTTGATTTATCGTTTTGTTGGTATGGAAAAGAACGATCGAGTCGTATGAGTGTTAGCAATATGTTAAGATAGACGTACGTTGCGTGCATTAAACATCAAAAGTATGTGCATAGATTTTAAAAAAAAGGTATAGATTAGGTCTTTGTCCTGAAATCATAGGAAAATATAAGTTATCGTTATTATAACGACGTATTGCTATTTGCCATTACTCTATTAGATGAAATAACAATTTTTTAACTTATGTATTTTTGAACGATGAATTCTAATAAAAGTTGTTAATAAAAACTAAAAGAAGAGTAGTCAAAAGGTTCATAGTTGTTTCATTAGTTATATTTTTCTCTGCTATGATTGATCTTTTAATCAGTATATTTTTAGCAAAGAAAATTTGTATGTAAAATGATTTTTATCGAAATATTTACATGTTCTTTTTGATGCTTTTTTTGTCTTTTGATCATAGAAATTCAATGTATATGAGAACAAATGATTGTGTAGAAGTAGATATAATGATAGATTTCAGAGATAGTCGCTTCATTTTTATTAAAAGTAATGGTTTTGATTTTAAAAGTTACTTAGAATGTTTTGCATTTTATTTTGCGAGAAAATTATAGCGTCCTATTAATATCTCTATAGATTTGAAAAATCTCTGATTTTTTACTTATTCGCTTGTTTCAACAATCTTATTGAAACAGAAATTTTGTTTTGTGGTCGAAACTTTATATTTTATTTTATATTGTATTCTTTCATCGATAGTGGAATGGAATTATCAAAAGGTAAAGTTAGAAATACTACTGATAATCTCTATTTATTGTCTTATCGTTTATTTGTTTCTTTCATTTTTTTAGAACAATTACTTGAACGAAATTTTAGTGATTTGAGTTGGTTTCAGCAGTATAATGTACAATTAAATGCTGAAACAGCTTTACCCTATTTTTGTTCATTGGGTAATCCATTTTATGATCGAACAAGTTTAAATCAACAAGTTAACATGGGTGGATTATCATTAGCTTCAATTGTAAGTGTAACTTATACATTAGATAGATACAGTTGTTCTAATATTTCTCGTATTTTCTCAGCATCAAGCAACAGGAATTGAATATGCATTAATACATTGTCAAGAACCAATATTATTTGTTATTAGAAAACAATATAAAGACGGATCAAATGAAAGTAAGGGAAAGAAAAAAACATAGATAAAATACGACAATTAGTCGTACGATAGAATTCGATGATCGCATGCTCAATACTAATTATTTAAAGAAGTTTTATGATCAAAAGATAAAGACAGGAAGAATTCTAACTTCTTCTCTTTATTCTTTCCTTTCTGAATCCATTTCAACTTCGACGATATACTAATCTTCTTTGATTAATTAATTAGCTCATGAGATACTATATTGATCAAAACTTCTTTAGTAATTAGTGTTGACTATGCGATCAAGTCTACCGTACGATTGATTATCGTGAAATCCACTTGTCATTTTCTCAAAATACAAGAACATCTATTGCTTTCTGTTTTTAGTACGGCCATTGCAAGAATATTACATTGTTGCACCGGGTTATATTTATCAAGCACCGGATGCAAGCGATGTTATTAGTCATAGATTGGTATGTACATTCCACGTTTTATTATCTATTAAAGATCATTTTTTGTTATTAGTTGGCTGCCGTATACCATTTCGGTAGAGCGTTTGATGAGGGTATGTACTGCTGTTACGTAGAAATAGCAATTTTGCCCATTTCTCTTTCGTTTAGCATCTCAGCAAGCAGCTTATCATCCATCATCCGGATATTATTGGAAATCAAATACAAGCACAGCAGGTAAGTTGACAAATTTTGTAGGATACAGAGAAATTAAAGGTACACAGAAGTAATAAGCATATGAAGATTATAGATCTTGTTAGATCTTATTAAATCGATAGTCGAAGATTCTAAGGGGTTACAATCTTCTCGTAGTGGAAATGTTAGTATTCTCTTTGTGTTTAAGATGATTTCGACCGAAAAGAGTCGACATCAAAAGATAAAATAGTTACCTATCAACAACGCTATCGTTTTGATAATTTATTTCGACATTACATTGACCGATTTCGACCAAAACCACAATCCACCATAACTGCTTCAACGACACAGACGGCACCCACAACTACTACTATTCATACTACTGCCACCGCTACTACTACAACTACAGTATCGACGACATCTACAAATAATAATGTAGCAGCCACAACAGCAGTAACAACAACAGCAGAAAGACAAGGTATGAATAAAGTATATTTCTTGTTTCACTTCAAATTGTTCTCTTCTATAATACTTTAGGAAAAGAAGAATTTAATTCCAATAATGAGCGACCAATGGTGGAAATTAAAAAGCAAAAACTTCAGAAATAGATTTAAAATCTTAGTTTGCATCATATTGTACATTCTAGAACGTTTTTTTTGTTCAAAAACAAAATAAAAATTCATTTTGTATCACATGAAAATATTAATAATTAGAAAATTCAAACACTTTTTAGGAAAAAATAGCCTAACTATATATGATTTCATGTTGTGGAGAACTATATATTATCCTCAGATAAACTACATTCATTTGAAACGCTCAAACTGAGCCTGATTGACGGTCAGTTGCAGTATGTGTCCCACTGTGTGAGTATTTTTACAAGAAACCTACTATCAGAAAATATTATAGATGTTCAATAATATTTCTCGTTTACCATTTATTTCTAAATTTCCTTCTGCAGCGATAACGACATTTATTTGTCGTTCATTGACCACAAAACCACCATTATCACCACCGCCAACTCGAATATGTATTGTTGGCAGTGGTCCAGCTGGATTTTATTTAACACAAAATTTACTCAAATTACTTGATTCAAAAACGACTACCATTGATATTTTAGAAAAATTACCAGTACCATTTGGTCTCGTTCGTTACGGTGTGGCACCCGATCATCCAGAAGTAAAAAATGTAATTAATACATTTACAAAAATTGCTGAACATCCCTCTGTTCGCTTTATTGGAAATATTCACATTGATGGTGTTTCTATTTCGTTAAAACAATTACAAGAATTTTATCACATTATTATTTTAGCTTATGGATCATCGATAGAGAAAGGTTTAAATATTCCTGGTATGCGAAAAATATGACTACTAACAATTGTAGTAGGCATAATATATTTTCCTTATATCATTTTAGGAGAAAATTTACCGAATGTTTACTCGGCAAAATCGTTTGTAGGTTGGTACAATGGTGTACCAGAAACATCTCAATTAAATCCAAAATTAGATCATACTGAAACGGCTGTTATTATTGGTATGGGTAATGTTGCATTAGATTGTGCAAGAATATTATTGACACCAATTGATGATTTGTACAAAACAGATATCACTGAACAATCATTAGAAATATTAAAACATAGTCGTATTAAACATGTTATGTTGTATGCAAGACGTGGTCCATTACAAGTATCATTTACAATTAAAGAATTAAGAGAACTTGTACAACTTAAACATACAATGCCGAAATTAGATTTGCAAGATTTTAGTCAAATTACACAAGAAAAGTTAGATAAAATGGAAAGACCAAGAAAACGATTGACAGACTTATTACTGAAAACAGTTAACAAAGGTAAAAATCAAAATCTTTCTATCAGTAGGAATATATTTTGAAAGACATATGTTTTTAGGACTAATCAAAGAATCAGTATCAAAATATTGGTATTTAAAATTTTTTCGTGCACCAAAACGTATTCTTGGTGCCGATCATGTTGAAGGTGTCGAATTTGATATAACAGAACCGATAAAAGATTCTGATTGTTTTTCTGAAAATTTACAAGTGCAGTTATCTGAAGATAAGAGAACAGATACAATTGATTGTGGACTAGTTATCAAAAGTGTTGGATATCATGGTTTACAAGTAATTATACACATTCTGAATTATATCTAAAGCTGTTAGTCTTTTATCTTGTACTGTTTTTAAGATTGATCCATGGTTACCATTTGATGTTACACGTGGAATTATTTTGAATACTCAATCACGTATTCATGATCGTCCAGGAATGTATTGTGTTGGTTGGATTGGGCGTGGTGCACGCGGTGTGATTGTTGATACAACATCTGAGTCATATGTGGTAGCTAAACGAATTGTTGAAGATGTTAAATTAAATTTAATACCAAATTTAAATGACATAAAATCGGGCGGTGATGGTCTTGTTGAATTAGCTCATACAAAACACATAAAACCGATAGCCTATATCGATTGGAAATTAATTGATAAATATGAAATTCAAAATGGAATGACAAAAGGAAAACCGAGAGAAAAAATTGTCAATGTAGAAAAAATGTTAGAGTTAATCACTGCATCAAAAAAAACTAATGAGCAATAATCGTTGTTTTGTTTTTCATTTTTTTTTTGCTTTATTTTTTGTGATAGTTTTGAGTTGATAGATAAATTCGATTTGACGTCAATTGTTTTGACAAAGAGATATATCAAATACGAGATATTTTACTCTATTTTCTATATATGTAAATACGATGATTAAAATTCTTCAATTTAGCAAATAGTCTCTGGGACTTATACAAGTGTGACAAGTCCTTTATTTGATATGGTTCTAAAATCTCTTTATTTAGGATACAAGTTGGTAAGAGTTGTACAGAATGGTAGAAAACTATGCTGATTCAGATTCAACATTGACAAAACAAGATTGATTTAATGTCCATGAACGTATTCATTATCCAATAAACTTGTTACAAATCATCTATTCTATTCAAAATGTTTATTTTACTGTCAAGAGCTAAAAGATTCAATCACTCCAAAAGATATCGATTAATAGAAATAAGATGCAGTAACCTCTAAAATTAGATGCTGCTAGTCAATATTTTCTAAAAGAAATTCAATAAGACTTATATAAAACATCACCATCAGCATTTGAGTAAACGTATCATCTCGTTTCGTCTCTAATTGGCTTTCCAAGATTAAACAACATCAAAGACGACATCAAAAGTGAGAGTGTGTAATTAGGGATGAATTGAGACTAAACCATGTCAAAAGACAAGAAATATATAATTGAAGAATTGTACGAATTTGATAATAGATCGCTATTCAAAGAACAATTAAGATATCATACAGAATGTAAGCAAGTACTTAGACATCAAGCGTAACTGTGTTATGTTCATGTTTCCTAATTCCTCATAATTAACGTCTATTAGGTGATGAAAATGGTAGTATTTTTAGAAGAATGCTGGTTTTTAATTGACTGTTGGATTGTAACAATAGTGGCTCAATCTATTTTGATCCGATGAACATTTTATTTGCTGGGGGTGAAACGAACCTATTTAATCTTGACGATTTAATTGAAATGTTCATGTGATAAGCGTATTCGTGATTTATATTTCATTTGAATACTAGCCGGAAAACAATCAGTACAGTATTTAATATTAGCCACAACATTTTCGTCACGACATCTAGTGAATACAAGCGATTACCGTAACGATTGTGGTAAGTTGGAAATCTTGTTAAAGCGCCTCCGAATGGGACTAAATGACTAGAACGTTTCAGAGAAAGTAAGAGATTACACCTTCCCATTGGTTTTATGTGCATTCGTCTGCAAGATGGGTAACAAAAACGCTCCATGCCATTTTTTCGCACTATAACTTTTACCCTCTATTCTTTCCGAATTATAGGTGAAGCATTTCACGAAGCACAAACAGATTAATTGTCATATCATAATTTATTCTATTTGAACACTACACAAGGCTTAAAATACCGTACATAACTTTGTTGCTTTCGTGCAGTCGAACTTCAAATTTGACTAAAAGTGATACTGGATAAAGTTAAGTAAACGTCTGTTGCCTAGTTACTGCTTATTTTTAGTTCACAGGAATGGACCGTTGGTAAGATACCAAGGAAAGGGGCTAGAACCAATGCTTACTTAATTTTGGTTTCTCTCAGAATTATCTTGGAATAGTTTCATAGAAATAAATGTGACATATCCAAGCTTAGAGCTCTTTGCTCATTTTCTTTTAGTCGGAAGTCAAAAAATGATGATATTCATAATTAAATGCAAATGCAAGAAATACAAATAAATGGACATGGATAAGATGGTAAAATAGACTTGAGCAGACCAAATAAAAATGATCCTTTTATAAAACTGTTCACTTTAACTAGGCCACATTGTTTTGCATATAAGAGACAGTCCACGGATACATTTAAAAAGTGTATCGAGGGAGAAGGAAAGAGCTTTTGTGTTTTAAATGTGCTCATTAGACTTTCCGTGCAAAATTACTCATAAATTTAAGTGATTTTACTTTAGAATATTTTCTCTCCTATAATATAAAATTTTTACAAATATAATTTTTACAAAGTCCCCAATTTTTATTAATCGAGAATGAGTTAAAAATAAATTAATAAAATTAATAAAATAAAATTAACGTTTTTAACAGGTTTCACTCTGAAATACAACAACAGTATTCTTCAGTTTCTGAAAGAACTCGAAAATCAATGGGAATTTTGTTCTTCATTTGTTCCAAATAGAGAGAACTCAAATTATGTTCTTTAATTTTTTTCGTTCTGTGGAACCTTGAAAAACAAATTTTGACTTCTACTCTTGAGAGCTAAAGATCAGAATTTGAGTTCTCTATTCGGAACAAATGAAGAACAAAATACCCATTGATTTTTTACTTCTTTCAAAAACTGAAGAACACCTTTTTTTAGAGTGTTCTACTCACAAATGATTCTAGTGATACTCACCCTCAAGTATTTCTTCAACACTTTGTCCACCATCTATTCCAATATAAAAATATGTAAAATTTGGTGTACAATGGACTATTTAAATTAAAAATCTTGATCTTAAAATAATCAATATTATTCAATGGATTTATGACTAACTTTAAATGGAAAATCTAATGAACATATTAAAAAGTAAAACTCTTTTCCCATTATTTTATGCACTTTTTCATGTATATTTGATTCTCTTTTAAAATGAGCGCACACAGTAAAAAATATCGTGTCGCATTTTGTGTCGCAGCTCCTGTGAGAAAATTGTGTCGCAAAACAATGTGTCGCAGCTCCTGTGAGAAAATTGTGTCGCAAAACAATGTGTCGCATAATTGTGTTGCCGTTACTAAGAACTTTCAGACACAGCTCTTGAGGTCATTTTAGGAGCTGTTCTCTTCAAAAAATTGCTAAATTTTATGTTTTATTATTTTCAGTAGTCTTCATTAGTATTTTTCTCGGCTTCTTTTCAATTTTGATGTGCTATAGGTGGCGCTAATACGTAAAAGGTAAGAAAATTTTCGAAGTTTTTAAGTGTTTTCAATTTTGAATTGGTGTTTTTAGTGAATAAAGATCCCTCTCTTCATCTTTTTTAACTATTTTCTACGTTAAACATTTTTTCTCTAATGAAAAAGAACCAATCAGAGGCCTTGACTACGCCATTAATCCCAGATCTCGGAAACTAAATATTCTGAAGGCCTGTGAATATTACCAGCGGATTGAGCTTGTTGACATTACGTAGAGCATCCCAAAATGAACTAAAAATATTCTTAAAATCGAATAAGAGATCGAAAATACTTAATTTCTACTGTTTTCTCTATGGTAGAAATACCCAGCGGAAT